GATCTATATATATATTTATATATATATATATATATATATATATATATATATATATATATATATTACGGAAACTACTATTAGCTTGTACTACTGAAGTCCCTTTCTTAGATCATAGTAATAATATATATATACAACGTGATGGCGTCTCCATGGGTTCAGTACTGGGTCCGACATTTAGCAATTTCTACATGTCGAACCTCGAAAATAAAATATTTACAGATGTTAAAAAACCTTCCATCTATCTAAGATACGTTGATGATATTCTTATGTTAGTTAAAAATACAGATGAAATACTTCAACTTCAAAAACGTTTCCAAAATAATTGTCTTTAAATTCACGTATGAACTCAATACTAATAATAAAATTCTTTTCCTTGACATATTGATAAACACAAATAATAACAAATTTACTATTTCGCCATACAAAAAACCTACCAGTATAAATTCATGTACACTTAATTACAAAAGCGAATGTCCATATTACTACAAAATAGCAATTATAAAGAATCTAATACATCGTGCAGAAATTAATTAATCTACAAAACAGATTTTTTATAGTGAACTAAAGAATATGAAACAAACACTTATTAATAATAGCTTTCCAAACTATATAGTTGATGAACAAATAAAATGCTTTCTTAGAAATCTTAATACTAAGCAAATAGAACATAATACTGCTTCAACTAATCCAAAACATATTAATCGTAGTCAAATGCATACTAATTATAAATAAGATGAAAATATACTAAAAAAATTAGTAAATACTAATATATCTACAACAGATCCTAGCAAAAAAATAGGTTAATCATATACTACACTATGATTCTTCCCCACTCCCCGTTAGCGATTTGCAAAAAACAAACATAGGTTACAAATTTAAGTGCCCTTTGGAAGATTGTATCTCCAATGGATTAAATAATATTTATGTTGATCACACCACAAACTCGCTTTCACGACGCTTGACTCTACATTTGAATGATAACTCTAACATTTTTAGGTATTTAAAACAACAAGCCTGGCCGTGTACACAATTCCAGAAAATCCTCGTTGAAAACACAACTATACTTAAACATGAAAACAATAAACAAAGACTAAAAATCCATGAAGCTATATACATAAAACAGTTGAAATCTAACCTGAACAAAATAAACTATGAAATCTCCACAAATATTATTAAATGCCTATAATTGATTAAGTTGATAAATGCTACCATAATCTTTGCCTTCCGTTCACCTTTGGCGTTACAAAGAGTTTTTTTGGTCTCTCACTCAACTGCACCCTACACATAATAATCAAGGGGGTTACAGTCTGATGAGTTAGATGGCCAGATGTAAGGGGGTATGTAGTCGCAGAAATTGTCTCTCAGCTATGACTGGATTTTCCAGTTTGTATGATATGGTGAAGAGTCCTGTTGCCAGACATAGGGTCTTCCAGCAGCCGCCATCTTGACCCAGGGCAGCACTACCTCCTCAAGGCACTTGATATAGACCTCTGTGTTGAGTCTGAAGCCCTATGGGAAGATGAATGGATGCATAACGTCACCATCACTAGTGATCACTCCAAACACCTTCGTAATCACCATTAAACTCATATTACTCTTTCTGAATCCTGTGCAATGTTCTCAGATTGACACCAAATACTATGAAATGTTTGTATTGGAGCTTCTGTCACAAATGCCAAGCAGTACATCATGCCGTTTCTAAATTTCTGACGGAGTGAATTGCGTCATAGTTCATTTTATTTCTTATAGACAGTGCCCAACTGACCCAGCTATACTATGCACGTAACAAAATCAAAAACAACGCGCATGCGTGAAGTTAAAAATATAAAATGGCGACTATTTACCCATCGTACCATATATATATATATATATATATATATATATATATATATATATATATATATATATATATATATATATGGAGAGAGAGAGAGAGATATATAAAAATGAGAACAAATGGAGTATAATTCCACTGTATGTATCATTTAATTTAAAAGAGGGCTCAATAGAAAGTAGAGCTAAATATTATTTATTTTAGGATATTAAAACATAGTTAAAATCGTACATAATTGCAATTATGCTTCAATACTACAAATGTGTCTCCTCAGGCGATATTAAGCTACTGGCAAGTGAAAGATTTCGCCAGAAGAGACACATTTGCAGTGTTGAAACATAATTTTCATTATGTAGCGATTTTTAACATGCTTTTAATTTCATTATATATATATATATTTATAACATTTATATATTTATATATATATATATATATATATATATATATATATATATATATATATATATATATATATATATATATATATATATATAATATCAAATTTTATTATGCATATCAGTTTCTTTACACTAAATTGGATGTACTTATATCAACAATCTATCATATGGGTTTCACCTCATAATACCTACCCTTATTGACATAAGTACATCCTCATAATTTCTACTCTTATTAAAAAATAATAACTTGTTTTGTAAGCCCATCTCCCCGAATAAATGATTTTATTAATTTGCATCCTTTTAAACTGAGTTTGTTCATTTTTGTACCGTTTCAAATTTAAATTACAAGCAGCAGTGTTTATTGATTGTGTGACAACTTTTTACTCGGATATTGTTTTCCATTCTGAGAGAGATTTCTTTTAATGATGGACTGCAAGTTTTCTGTTGAATTAATATTCTAGTGAGGCAAGACAGAAGGATATTCTACTAATTTGGCATCATTGAAACCATTTTTTAGCAATATGGGAAATACTCAGCTTTTCAGAATGTGAAAGAATATGGTCTTGCATGAATATACTAAATCTTTTTGGTTGCGATCTGTACGGTACAAAAAAAAAAACATTTTGTTTAACCACTTATCATAATTATTTTCATTTATCTTGAGACCATCATCAAATTTAGAGGGACCTATACTTCTACTGTTTATATCAAGAGCCCAAAACATTACTCCACTTCACCACTAAATTGTGTTTCTTGACTATTTCCATGGCGGATCTAACCTCCCTCAAACCCAGCCATCAGCTCCATCCATCAGCTCTACATTCATCACTAAAATTTATTGTTGATAATTCGGTGTTCATGTACTTATTCACCCAACTTGCAGGTTTCACTTTGTGATAGTTTTATTGCTTTCATGCCTTTAGCCAATGTTCTATCTTTTCTCTCTGTTTATTTTCTTGTCGTTCAATTTACTTTTTTGCTCACTGGCCATCCTTTCCCAATTCCTTTTTTGTCAAATTCTTAAAACTTTTTTATGATCTTGTCTTTTTTTTAAATTTCTTTCTTGATTGTTTTTAGATCTCTTTAAAGATTTTGTAATTTTCAAAATTTTAACACTCAATAATTTCAAAATATCTTGTTACTTTTTTGATGCTGTATGAAATAACTTTATAGCAACATTTACATATCTGAAACTAAAAAGAAATGAAATAACACTTCTGCTATTCATATTAAACTATACAATTATTTCTTATCATTGTAAACGTTATTTTAGTGGGTACACGTATTTGAGATGTTATCTCTGAATTTAATTTTCTTAAACAGTGAAATCAATAAGAAACAGACAAATTGAGCTTCTAATAGGAATCGACCTAGTATGCCATTTTTCCATCACGGATTCCCCTCCCCTTTTTTTTTTAGTCAAAGAGTGCTGCTCTCATTTTGACCACGGTGATCAGCCTAACAGAGCAAGTTTTGAATTGCCTATTTAAGGAAAGCATGTTTCTGGTTGGGACTTCTACGAATCTAAATCTGTTAGCTTCAAATTCGTACCTGAAACTTAAACAACAGCCATTTTTGAATAGATTTTTTTTTTTTTTTATCCGACATTATTTCTTATAACTATACTGGGTGTGATGGATAAATTATCGTCTAAATTACGCAAAAATGAAAATAACACTGGCATTTATTACACAAGAAATGCGCTGCTTGTGTTAGTAGAAAGGCAGTGTTTTTCAACCTTTTTAAGCAACCGCATACCTAGAATCAAATGAAAATATCACGGCACGCTCAGCAAAGTGTTTTGAAGGGTAAACATATAAATGTTATGAAATAAAACCATGGAGTTTTTCTTAAAAATATACACACACAAATATGAAATTACTTTATTTCAATGTTTCTATTCAACTATTTGTACAGCTTATTGGTGTTTTGTATGAAACATGTGCCTGGTGTTTAGTATGAAACATGTGCCTGGTGTTTTTTGTATGTCGTGATAATATTTTGTGGCATACTTAAGAGGATCGCGCGGCACACTAGTGTGCCACAGCACGGAGGTTCAGAATCACTGATGTAAGGCCTCACTTGGTAAAACGAGTGACAGAACTAATTTTAACTTGGAATTAATTTCAATTCGGAATTAATTTCAACTCGGAACTAATTTAAACTCGGAACTAATTTAAACTCGGAATTAATTTCAATTCGGAATTAATTTCAACTAAGAAATAATTTCAACTGGGAACTAATTTCAACTCTGAATTAATTTCAACTTGGAATTAATTTCAACTCGGAATTAATTTCATTTCAGAATTAATTTCAACTCGATTTAAAATCAAAGTTATCAATTTCCGTGAATTCCTAAACAAAATGCAATGAGTTGGTGTTAATTTTTTAATTTAGCATTAAGAATCCTGAGTATATAATTCAGAATTCATCTTTTCTGCAATTTTCATTAATTAGTTCTGAGTTGAAATTAGTTCCGAGTTGAAATTAATTCTGCACTGCGGTAAAACAAGTTTAAAAGAATAGAAATCCACTGGGTTTGGAAACTTTGCCATGTCCTGAGTAAACAATAAATCTAGATAAACGTTAGTTTTAACCGCGAAAACCTTTTCTTTTGGCGAGTCAGAAAGAAGGCCAACATCAGTTAATGTCTTCGTGTTTTCTTTTCTACGAAATCGTCAAACTTTTACAAGGATGGCAGATAAAAATGACATTTACGTTGGAATTGCTGTTACTAGTATTGATGACGATCAGGCTGTTAATTAGCTTACGTTCACATCACGTAGAAACACCGATACCCGTACGAACAGCGAACTTAAGCAACGTCGTGCCTGATCAATGCCTAGATGGGTGACCGCTTTGGAATATCAGGTGTTGTAACTTTGGATGTGCAGGTGATGTAATAGATAATGGCTCGGAAGTGTTAACTGGGGAGACGAGTTCAAATTCCAGTTGGGTTCATTATATTCACTTACATGCAATTATCTTTGGGAAAGCTATGAATCCACCTCTTCCCCTCCCAGCTTAATTAGTAATATTTGTATCACTAAACCCTCATTATCTCTCACCCCATCACAAATTCTTACAATCTAAAATATTTTCTGGCTTTAAACAACCTGCAAAGAGTTGATAAACTGTAGAAAATCAATCAATATTATTAATTAAAATATCAATTACTTTTGTTGCCATTTTATTACCTGCTCGAGAAACTGACATTACTTTCCGAACAGCTTAACATTTCTAAGGTTTGTTTTCCTGAAAAATGCGACATTACTTTCCAAACAATCTCATATTTTTGTTTGTTTGAAAAAAATAAAAATACGACATTACCTTCCGAACGCCGTAATATTTAGCTGGAAAATACGATATTATTTTCCGAAAAATCTAATATTTCTGTTTTTTCTGGGGAAAAAAAACAACATGAGAATACTTTCCAAATAATTCCATTTTTTTCTAAAGTTAAGGGCACCTTGACGTGGTGCAATGGTTAGCAAGCTTGTCTCGCTAAAACGGTTACGACTAAATAGTGACTTCGTTCCTCACTGGGTGTCCCAAACTTTCGGGCGTCCTGGGTAAGACGATAAACTACATCCAGCAGCAAGGCGTCTGATCAGGAGGTTTTGAGGAACGTGGAACCACCTCTTAATTGCTGATGTTCCCAGGTGCACTCTGACCCGGGGTGGTAGCACCTGTTAGGGTCCCAGCTATGGACAAATAGTTAGCCCACAAACTTGTGTAAAAATAGGTTTTAATACCAGAAGTACTTTGTAATAAAAAAAAATATTACCAGCAATAATTTTTAAGGAAAAATTATTATCAGCAATACTTTAAAAAAAATACCAGCAATACAAACAGCTACACATTCTTTGAAACAAATATGACCAGCTATAGATTTCTTCAAGGAAAAATATTCCCAGAAATAGATTTTTGAACGAAAAACATTACCAGCAAGAAAAATTTTGTCGGCATTAAATAACCCATTGAGGTTGATATGCCATAAAACAAAACAAACCAAACCATAATTTCGGCCTTGTGCGACATCTAAGCTACGGTTAAAAAATCATTTTCGACACCTCAAGGCGGTGTAATTGTTAGCAAGCTTGTCTCGCTAAAAACAATTACGACTGAGTAGTGAGTTCGATCCTCACTGGGTGCCCGATACTTTCGGCCTTGTGCCACATCTAAGTCACGCTTAGAAAATTGTTAGGGCACCTTGGCATGGTGTAATGGTCAGAAAGCTTGTCTCACTAGATCAATTACGATTGAGTAGTGAGTTCGATCCTCACTGGGTGCCCCATACTTTCGGCCTTGTGCCACATATTTCCCTAAGGTTTGTTATTCTGAAAAAAAGCGACATTACATTCTGAACATGATTGCCTTTGTTTCTCTGAAATGAGATATTATTTTCCGAATATGCTGATGTTTTCTGAAAATATTTTAGAAGCAATCTATGTTGTTTTTTGTTTTTCTTTTCTTTCATTTTTTATTTTATTTTTTTTTTTTGTGAGGAAAATTTTAGTTAAACTTCAAAAATCAAAATGAAAACAAATAACCCAGTACACAAATAAAATCTCAATAATTCTTTTCTTCTACTTCCGAGGCAAAATTACGTGCCGTCTATTGACAGCGGTGAAATGGAATCTCTCTCCTCATATAATAGTTCGCTATTTAATCCTTCATTTATCGCAATTTTTTCAACACTGTCATTTTCCAGGTGATAGTTGGTGACTGGTGCCGCAGACTCACTGGCAGCAGTTTCTGATTTGTTTTCATCGTTTAGACGTGTTCCAGTACCTTCCATCTTCTTGTCTTGAGACACAATGTCATAATCCTTTGCAATATCCTCGCTAGCAGCTACGTTAGAAGCCAATCCGGTCTGGCGTTCTGTGTTGTCTGTCAAATTAGCATTAACTTTACCATCCTTAAGTTCATCTTCTTTATCTATTAAAGGAATAATAACAGGACGATCGGTTACGGAAGTGTCGTCTGCATTTTTTACTCGGTCCTTTTCTTCTTTCTTTGAAGACTTGCTTTCTTTTTTATTAGCTTTACGATCTTTCTCTTTCCGATTATAAGGCTGTTTTCGGCCCTTCTCTGTCGTCTTTTTCTCTTGATTTTCTTTTGTTTTTATTAAAGGGGACAGGTGATTGTAGCGTTGGGTCTCTAGAGCGACCCGTCTAAACGTTTGACTCTCATCTCCTGAAGAGCACGATTCGCAGGCAAGATGATCGAGGTTGCAATTATAGTGATCAAAGTTTTCCATGTCAAAGTGCAGTTTATGGAATTTCCCCTTTGGCTTGAGTTCGTTCATTAGCATGAGGATCAGATAACTGAGAAAGGTGCCAAGAATTTGAATGAAAAAGAAAATTATTGAAATAATCCCCACAGGAAAGAGCAGAGATTTCGATAAACCGCTGTTAACAGCTTCGGCACATCCCTGTTCATACCAAATATCTTTGAGTGAACTTTCACGGACAACTTTTAACAAAGCTGTATCGCTCTTAGCCAAGCAAGGTGACATCGTAAAACGATTGCAGCAGCTGAAAGGTGCGGTATTTTCTGTGTCTTGTTCAGGGAATTTTTTTCGATACCAATCGATTTCAAACCAATCTGAGAGACTTCCACTGCCACAGCATTGATAGTAGATCTGCATTTTGTCAATGGAAGTCTTTAAATCCATCCGGCTTCTGTAATAGAGCATTGTATTTATTATAGCCGTTTCCAAATTTCCATCGAAACGATTTCTTTGTAAGAGAGAGAGAACACCAATGGTGAGAATTCCGACGCCGAGAATCCCTTGTAAAAGAGCAAAAGACATTATCTTTTTTCGATGTAGCTTGCACTTTTCTACGTTCAGAATTGAATAAACAAAGCCTGGATAACCGATACACACGAATCCATTACAAAGTCCAATGGCAACGATAAAGCCGGAAATTAATTCGAACGACATTCCAATGGAAAGATGCTCGGCGCCTTCGGTTAAAATCGGACCGATATTGTCCGTTACAACCAAAAGAATATGGAAACCCACACCAGCAATGATAACCGAATAAACAAACATTGCAGCCTGCAAAAATCCAGATACACTCAAATAACAGATTTGCTGAGATTTTGTTTGACATATATCACGGAAACTATCCATTAGATACCGATTATTTTTCAAAATTTACTTTGCTGTTTTTTTGTTTTTTGTTTTTTTGCATTTAAATTTCTAGGAACGTTATACGTTTTAAATGCAATAATATAATAATAATAATAATAAAAAACGCTAATATTTCATACGAACTTCTTTCACGTGATACGTTTCGCGAGCGTGGTTCCGGCCATAAATCGACAGTTTTATCAGATGAATTGTCAACCATTATTAATTTTTTTAAATAATATTTCTTTAATTTAGATTTCAGTTGGTATATTTACTCTACTGGTATTAATAGTAGGAATATTATCTTAAATTTTATTATTAGATGAAGTATAGCAGGTATTTATTTTTGACTTGTATTTCTTTTCATCTTAATTTCCCTATTATTATTATTATTTAGATGGAGCATTTTCAGTATATCAAATTCTCGACTGGTAATTCTTTCATTTTAACTTTACTTGCTACATTTACTCTAGCAGTATTAGTAGATGTAACATCATCTAGATGTGTTAATATTACTAACAATTACTAATTTCTGATTCGTATGTTTTTCCATCTTAATTTCACATGTTTTTCTTCGCAATTGCCCACTCAGTCTTTCTACACTCCGTAAACAAGTGGTTGGTTGATCTTGTTTAACGGCATCGATCCTCTATCGCTTATTTAATTCCGAAATCTAAATATTCTGAACAAAATTCTATGTATTGTTGGTCATTTTATTGCAAAATATATTGCTGGTTATTTTGCTTTAAAATTGTTTTGTTGGTAATTGTTTATATAATAATGTACTGGTGGTACATATATATATATATATATATATATATATATATATATATATATATGATGAAAGAACATTAAGATATATAATCCGGTGTTCTTATTGATATTTTATTTTTACAAAATAGTGCTCAATGTAAATTTACAGAGCATTAATATTATAAATTAACGGATTTAAAATGTTTTTTCGCTACACAGTAAAAACCATGTTTCAAAAATGGAAGCTAAAAGCTTCAAATTTAATTTTGTAATTAAATTAAAACCATTAGTTCCATTTCATCGTCAAGCGAATTTTGGAGTATACATATATAAAATATAAAAGGATCAAACAGTAATATTCCATGGTTATAATTTGTTACAATGGAATCGTGATTATGATTCCAATCTAATAAATTATAACCATGGAATATTTTAGCCTTTTATATTATATTCTTCTCTGTCCTGGACATTGAATTCTATCTGGATTCTATCCTCTTGGGATTATATATATATATATATATATATATATATATATATATATATATATAATTATTTATTCGAAAATTATAACATAAACATGTTATAAAATCACTACAAAAATAGCCATTTTGTTTCAACATTTCTGGTGTCTTATCAAGTGATGATGTTGAATGTAGAATAAAGGGTTTTAAAAGGTCCAAATCAATCAAACATCCCTCGAAAGGGGAAACGCTGTTACATAAGCTGGAATGACCAATCAAAATACAAATATATATATATATATATATATATATATATATATATATATATTGACCAATTAATATTATATATATATATATATATATATATATATATATATATATATATATATATATATATATTCAATAAAAAATGTATTCTTATACTTTTATAATGCTTTTTTTTTTAGGGGGGTACTATTTACCCATACCTAGGAGCCCAAAGGTGCTACCACCCCGGTTAAACAGTGTAGATTTGAAAGAAAAAT